CGTGTCGCTGCTTCACGTATACCACATTAAGGCATGTTTTACAATCGAAACGGACAGCGGACAACGCACAACGGACAGCGGACAACGCACAACTGTACCAATTGGATACTCGCCATAATGCATTTACAGCACTCGTAATTTGATGACCCATCCAAGGGGCAGCTGCTAAAGTCTCCTTTTGCCAAGCAGCACTCAGCAAGTGTTGGGTAACGGCTCGAAGTATCGTTCATCGTTTATCGTTTATCGTTCATCGTTATCGTTATCGTTGTCGTTCTGCTGCTGCTGGCTCTGTGCGCCCTCAGGCCGCTCGTTAGTCGCTGAAAACTTTCCGTGCTTGCACTTTAATGTGGCATTTAAATGTCAAATGCAAATTCCTTTGCCCCCTTTCGTTTCAGTGTTCTGTGCTGGCCATAACAAAAGTTTCATCATCGTTGTCATCGTTGTCTCATGTGCTGCTCAGAAGTTTCTCGTTGCCATCAAAAGTTCACACGCTCCGAACAGGGGGGCAGGGCCGCCTCCGCTCAAATTGAATTCAAATGAAAAATCCATATAATTGCTTTAATTAATGGCTCGGGGCTGGGCACAACTTTTGGCCCTGCACAAAGGCAATTCAATTGAATATCGATCTGTCGAGTCAGTCACTCAGTCTGTGTGTGTGTTTGTTGCTGCCTTTACTTGACTACAACTTCCGCTTGACGATGGGAAATTATGCCATCAACTATGCATGGCCATGGCCTCCTCCCACTGCTGCTGCTCCTGCCCTTACCCATACTTCTGAGTGGTTTTTGGAGTTTTGTGGTCGGGCTTTTGGCAGGTTGACTCGCTCTTGCCTGTTGTTTTTGCTGTTTTGCCAGAGACAAAACCTCTGCTGCCTATCCGGCCATCCATCTCCCGCTCTGTTTGCCCTTTTTCCCAGTGTTATCATCACAATCTGTTCGAGTGCTTTTGTTATTTTTTAATTGAAATTCTGTTTGCCGTTCAACGCATTCATTTCAAGTCAATATTGATTATTGGTTGGGGCAAGTTAAGGCGCTTGTTGGCTCTCATTTTAGCACTCCAAAGCTGCAAATATTTGCCTGTCCCTCGCCTTTAATCCCACCAAGTCTGCTCTCTAACGGCAAAGGTAGACACAACAGGAAGGGGTCAAAGTGTTCCAAAATGCATGGCTGCTCGTGTATCATGACTCGAACAATCATTGGCAGCGGCAGGAGGCAAGCTCCCTGCACATTACATATTTACATACATATTTGTACATTTATGTACGTGTTTATGTACAGCGCTAGTTGGCTTTTTGCCTGTCAGTTGGACAATTCCCAACTCAATAATTCAGCGCCCTTATTCATGCTTCAAATCAAAACGCAGTTGGCTCGCTCCCTCGCTGCCTCCTTGGCTCCACACCTCAAGTCAAGTGGAATCCGCAGTGGCTGGACCTTCCCCTCTGGCAGTTATTGCATGAACAGTGCAAGGGTGCTGCAGCGTGGGCGCTGGATGGTGCACAGCCAATTTAATTACAAGACAAAATGTCGACGATATCATGTTATGAAATGCAAAATGCAAAATGCAAAATGCAAACCCAGAGCACATGGAGCGGGCAAACAGGGAGAGAATACGCTGAATAAATGGCGCGCCAGTGTGTACACACACTGACATTGACATGACAGTTTGCTGTTGATTTCTGCTGCTGTTGCAGCTTTCCAATTGCAGTTGCCCTGTGCAGTTCACCTCGCTGGCCGTGTTTCGTGTTGTTTCCGCCCAATGGGTGCTGGCTGGAGAGGTGTGTGCCCGCCCACATGCTGTGCCACCAGCTAGACAAAAATATTCCCAATCATTTGGCATTGGCAGGGAGCCTCCCATCTCCCATCTCCCATCTAATCCTGCTGCTGTGTGGCCCTTATCCTGGAGCCTGATGTTGCTGCAGCTTCCCTTTGTTTCAGCTTATCGCTTGGCTCTTTATGTCTCTGTTTCATTGTTGGCAGCTCAATTCAATTATGGCTAGCTGCTGGGCTGGCCTTTGTCTTTGGCCAGGCAGCTGGCGGGCCAGGACACACCTTTGCTTCGCCTTGTGGTCGTATCCCTGTAATCTGGAATCGGTCTTTGGGTAATTTGTACTCATTCTGAGTCGTACCCAGAGTCCTGCCCTTGTGTCTGTGTCTGTGTCTGTGTCTGTGTCTCCTGCTGCTGCTTTTTGCTGTTCTTTTTTTGCTGTAATGCCGCGAGCTTATGGGACTTTAGTGGCGCTTATCACATGCCACCAGCAGCAGCAGCCGCCTCAATGTTTCCACATGCAAAACTGCACAGCAGCCGAAACGGGGGAACACAAACATTTTTGCTTTGCATATTCATGTTGCTTTTTACCTGCCACTAACCCTGCAGCCTTTAATGGTTTCTTCTTATTTCGTGTTCTGTGTGTAACTATTCCGCGTTTGGGGCTGCAAATTGGTTTGGGTTCTTGTTTTGTGTTTGTTTGTTTGGAAACTTTAGGCTCGTTGTCGCTGGCTGAAAGTTGTCCCTAATCGGCTACTTGAAAGTCCTCGGCAAATGGTCCTCGGAATGTTGTCAAAAGGTGCAGCAAAATGCTTCCTCCACCTGTAAGTACGCCCACAATTGGCTGGAGATATTGTTGGCCCTTGCCCAACTTCGATGTTTCGATGTTTATTCCTTTTTTGGGCTTGGGCAAATGTTGATTTCTGAGATGAGTTGAGGTGGCTGTGCACTCCCTCATTCACACTCTCCTTCGCTGTCTCTCTTTTCCGCTGACTGACACCCCACACCCCACTCGAAGCTGGACTCTCTGCCAGCCCTGATAAGTATGCTACAAAAGATGTAATTACAGTTTCAATTGAATTCGCGGTGAAAATGCTGCTGGTGCAGAGTCAGCGAAGTCAGCCGCAACATAAATACTGCTCAGGAAGGTTGAGGCTATTGATTGATGTGCCCCCCCACCCCTCGTTTATTAATCGATAAACGGGTAAATCGATACTTTGCTGCACTCTGTCCAATCATTTTTGATTGCTGCACTGTCGACCACACGAATTGTCCCTTGCAGGGATTCCCTGCCCCTTGCTGCCATTTCATTTCATATAATATTTCTTGCTCTCTGTCGTTTGCTCTTTTTTGTATGCTTTATTTTTTGCAGCATTTTCTTTCAACAACTTTTCTGCTGCTGTTTTTATTTGAAGTTTGCAATAAAATAAAAGCCACACAAGACCCCAGACGCCACATGGAACGGGGAGGATTAGTGGGGTGTGGCTGGCTGGCTGGTTGGCCATGCCAGAGCCAGAGCCAGAGAGAGAGAGAGAGATTCTGGCCCTCGGCCACAGACACGAAACGCGAAACTATAAAGCAAAAAATCCCCATTCATATAATTTACGTGTGAGCCCCTGGGGATGGGTGCGTTGGTCGTGACTGGTTGCCCGTGCGATATGTGCGATAGGAGTCTGTCCCCAAGCGAACATCAATCAGAGGGCAAGGCTCAGGCATCAGGAAGCCGATAGTTTTCACCACACTCACGTGCCATCTCTAGCGCGGTGCCAACTCCGCTGCTGCTGCTGCTGCTGCTGCCGCTGCTTCGGCTGGTTGCATTTTATTTTACCATTTCGTTTCGTCCACGTTTGGATTTATGAATTTCAACTCGCTCGACCCTTTCCTTTCCTTTCCTTTCCTTTCCTTTCCTTTCCTTTCCTTTCGTTCCACTCCCCACCCCACCAGTGGTCTCCTCTCCCCAACCGCATGACCACCGCCAGCCATTCATTGTTGGCCCCGCACATATGCGGTTTTATATATTGACACTTAAAATTTATGGGACTTCAAAATCTACAAAACGCTGCCCCCCCCCCCCCCCCCACGCTTTGTCCGCCCAAGTTGGTTTAGAGCTTTCGGGTTCGAGCTTCATTCTGGCATGTGCCCGGGTGTTGGGCATCACAAAAGCTTGCTCACGGTGTGGTGTGGGTGTGACTGCGAGTCACAGAAGACGGTGGCAGCAAATCGTGTGTGAAATGAATAGAACTGCTTGTCAGCATGTGCTGCTTGTTGATGTTGCATAGAACAGAGCGCAGGAGATTCCAGTTGGAATGTTGCTGTTGCGAGATGCTCCTTTAATGGCTGCAAATTGCACTTGAAAGGTCTGCTAGAACAAATATCAAACAAAGTCACGCTCAGCACGTAACGGATCTTCATCTCTCTTTGCACAGAGAGTAAGCAAGAGAGAGAGAGAGAGCGCGCTCAGGTACTCAATTGTTGGAGTGCGCTTGCATGTGCACAGACAACAGAAAAAAACGTCAAAAACGTTTCTTGCTTCTCTGCCGCAGCGGCTGCCGATCAATTGTGCATACGAAGCTGCTGCACTACCGAAGCCACACGAAGATGTTACGCTGTGTGTGCGTCGACTGCGCTGCCCGCTGCCCGCTGCCACCTGATCTACAGCAATATGCCATCTATGGGGAGGTTTCGCAGTCGCGAGCAACTTTACGCAGGCAGACCCTCTGCTAGCTAAAACTTTGCGGAAAAGTTCTCTCGCTTTCGTTGCGTTGTTTCTGCGCTAATTAAATGCAACTTAAAGTCAATGAAAAGTAAATTAATCATTAATGGCCGCCTGAATGGAGTGGAAGAAGTCTGTGGCGTGGAGGGGGGGGGGTGCACTTTCTATTTCGTTTTCATTGCTGATTTCATTGAGCTTATCAGCTTATTGAACTTGAGTCTCAGTGGCTGGCAGTGGCCCAACCACGAACGACCGTCGAACAAAACGAAAAGTTGGCAATGGGAGATTTTAGTTCTAAGTAGCTACTGCAGCCGCAGCAGCTGCTGCTACTGCTCCTTGGAGCTCTACAAAATCAAATTCAATTTGCTAGGACAGTGGCGGGACAGCGGGCCGGACAGTGGCCGCATCTGTGGCCAGCTCCAAGAATTCAATTAATTACACAATGAGCCAGTGGCCAAGGAGGTGCTGGCGCATTGTTTTCCTATTGTACAGTTCTGCTGGCATGTCTACGATTGTCACTCACCTGTGTGGGCTGCGTGGACAGCAAATCGATTGTCTCCTCGTGTTGCTTATGACCAAATGCCACAGTGGGTGTCAGTGGCTGTTGCTGCTGCTGCTGCTGCTTCTGCTGGAACTGCTGCTGGTAGTGCTGCTGCTGCTGGTATTCATATTGCTGCTGCATTTGATATTGCAATTGCTGATACTTCAAGTGCTGCTGCTGCTGCTGCTGTCCCTGTCCCTGTGCCTGTGCCTGTCCCTGCACTAGAGAACAGCAATAGAGAAGGATGGCCAGCACTTGGAACGTGTTGGCAACATTGCGTGCTGCTTTATTTATTGCTGACGACAACATGTTGCCGCCGCTCGTTTCCACCTTCTTTTCGCTCGCTCAATCTCTCTCTCTCTCTCTCACTCCCTGTCTCTTGCTCTGTTCTTTCACTCCTTGCCTATTTGGGTGAGTGGCTTGGCACACTGCAGCTGCTGCCGCTGCTGCTGCCGCTGCCGCTGCCGCGTGTTTACTTGTCTTTGGTTTCGTTTCGTTTCCTTTGCTCCTTTCCTTCTTTTTTTTGTTGCAGTCGCCTACCAGTTGCCAGTGTAAACTTTTCGGTCTGCAAGGAAAACATTTCAAATAAATATAAGTTCAACTTGTTCCTAAGTGTGAGACATGTATAAATTTCAGTTTAAAATAAAAGCAAAAATAAAAATAAAAATGGGGATGGGGATGGTGGCAACATGTAATTGTAATATTCCACGAAAAATAATTGCAGCCTCGCAATGGAAATGTGCAAAGCACAAAAGCAAACGGCAAATGATGTGTGCAGCTACCCCTCCTTGCTCTCGCTCTCTCTCTCTCTCTCTCTCTCTGTCTTTTTCCAACTCGATCAAAGAAAAGTCTGCGTGCAAAAATCAAAAATATAATTTTCAATGATTAATGCAAGGCGAGGGGCAAAACGAAACAAATGAACGCAAATATTTTGGCTTGCAATCAAAAGAGGAATAAGTGGAAAGAGTCGAACAAAAGGCAGAGCAGAGACAGTGGAAAATTTCCACTCCGTTTTCCATTTGCTGAAAAAATCAATTTCACTTTTCAATTAAATGCGGAGGAAAAGCGCGTATGGGATCATGCCAAAACGCGTTCGAAAGTAACTGAAAAAAGGCAGCAAAATAATGCCAACAAAATGCCACAATTTGTGCAGATTTTTAAAGCAACCAGAAGCAGCTTTTCTTTAATTTCATATTGCCAGTTGGCAATGCGCAAAGAGATGATGCTGGGCTTTGCCTGCTGCCTGCTGCCTGCTGCCTGCCTCTTGCCTGTGGTGTGGGTGTGGATGTGGATGTGGATGTGGTTGCTGGGCTGGCTGTCTGCTGGGAGGTGTTTAATATCTATGCCATAAAAGCGTCTGCGAAAATTGCACTTTGATGTGGCTGGAGCTGGCGGCGGGAGTGCTGCTTCCATAATGGATGGCCAAAGAGCTGCTGGCAATTACATGGCCATCCCCGACACCCGCCCCTGCGACCCTTTGGCCCCTTCAGCTGGATAATCATCAATTTTCACTTGCGATAATTTCAGACCGTGGACAGAGGCCCACAATTTGGGTTCTGCAAGGGAATTTATTTAATACATTTTTAACCAATTATTTGTATATATAAGAAACGAGGAAAAGTTGAAGCTGAATCTTTGGCTCTTCGAATCTTTTGCCAGAATAAACTGTACAGCGCCACCCCCACCCCCCCGGCAGATTGTACCTTGGGCGGAGCGAATGAAGAATGCAAAATGCTGACACACACACACACACACACACACACACACACATATACATACGTAAAGATTGGCATTCTGTGGAAAATAAATTTGCTTTTTTTGTGTGTTGTTGTATTGGCCAGACCGAAAAGGAATCTCAACGTCCGATGGCCGACAGCTTTTGACTTCGTTAACAAAGTTGTTTTTGCTGCCCGCCAGCCTGTCCCCCCTCCCGCTTGTTTGGTGCCAATGATAGCGTGAATGATACTTTGTGTACACACTTCATTTGCACAAGTATCCGGAAATGGAAATGGAAATGGAAATGGACAGGAACCACGCGGCCACAACAACGATCATTGCAGCTGGTTTCTGGATGCTGTTGGGCGAATTTTCGTGTGTTTATGCCATAACAGCAGCAGCAACAACAGAACCCAATTGACTGTAGATCAACAGCCGCCAGCAGTAACAGCAAAGAACTGTAGAACAGTAGTAGTACAGAAGCTAGCAACAAATAGCTAGCAGAACGCAGCTAACAGCAGAGAAGAACGAGCCTAGCAGCAGATCATCAACAGACAAGCAATAACAGCAGAGCTGCAATAACAGCAGAATGGGGAATAGCAGCAGCAGGGCAACAGCCGGTAAGCTGAACAACAGAAACAGCAGAGCTGCAAAAACAGCAGAGCTGCAATAACAGCAGAGCTGCAATAACAGCTGAATGGGGATTAGCAGCAGCAGGGCAACAGCCGGTAAGCTGAACAACAGAAACAGCAGAGCTGCAATAACAGCAGAGCTGCAATAACAGCAGAGCTGCAATAACAGCAGAATGGGGATTAGCAGCAGCAGGGCAACAGCCGGTAAGCTGAACAACAGAAACAGCAGAGCTGCAATAACAGCAGAGCTGCAATAACAGCAGAATGGGGATTAGCAGCAGCAGGGCAACAGCCGGTAAGCTGAACAACAGAAATAGCAGAGCTGCAATAACAGCAGAGCTGCAATAACAGCAGAATGGGGATTAGCAGCAGCAGGGCAACAGCCGGTAAGCTGAACAACAGAAACAGCAGAGCTGCAATAACAGCAGAATGGGGATTAGCAGCAGCGCAGCAGCAGATCAATAGCAGATAAGCAGAACAACAGAGTGCAATAACAGCAGCACAGCTTAACAGCAGATCAACATAAGATAAGCAGAAGAAGAGAAACAGCTCAAGCGCAAAAAAGAGAAACAAAATGTAAGTGGGAGAGGGATAGGGATAGGGATAGGGATAAACTCTGCCCCGCAAGCTGGGGTAAATATTATAAGCTGTTCCATCCCTCCCCCCATTGCCACTTGCCCTCTAAGCGGCATTCATGGCTGACTCGTAAAGTTGATATGCTATAAATTGTCTTCCCATGTCCCCACACTCGCTTTTAATGCTCTTATAAACATTTTTTCATGAAGCATTTTAATGGGTCACAAAACGAATTGTATGCCCATTCCAGCGGAGATTTTTTCGCCAGGGTGCCCCTGCTGCCAGGCAGAGTGTAAAATTGATGATAAAAACGTGCGACGCTGATAAGACTCTCCCGGACAGGGGGAGGCTGAACAGAACACAAAGGCTAAGAGGGGGCTTGGGGGTGGGCTGGATTGCCATGACACCTTGTTGCTCGTTAGGCTAACAGTTGCGCATTCCGCACGCAGCAGCAGCAGCAGCAGCAGCGGCAGCAGCGGCAGCAGCAGCGACAACAACAGCGCCAGCTGCTGCACTGCTTGTCTACTGCTTGACTGCAAAGCAATTGGCAAACGAATTACAATGAAGCGAGCCGCCAGCTACAGCCTGAATGTCGATACGCTGAATACTCTTTGCAACTAATCATTCATGGCCTGGCTGCTGCAATTCATTTGCGAAAATATTCAACGATGTTCGGACGCCATGGAAGCGCACAGCAGTAAGAGAGCGTAACAGCGAGAGAGTGGGAGTGGGAGTGGGAATGGGAGTGGGAGGTGCACACCTTGATGAATGCCGTAACCCGCGCTACTGCTGAGCGCAAGGTGGCGCCAATTGACAATCAGGCAGGAATGCAGCAAACAAGCTCTGGCCCGCCTGCAACAGTTTCGATACTTCGGGAGCCTTGGGCGGGTGCTGGGGTGCTGGGGTGTAGATGTGCGCCCTGAGGCCTTTGTGCGGCCTTTGAGCTCTAAAACAGAAACAGCAGCAGCACAGGGAAACCTCCAGCCTGGCCCTGTGCCTAATTTGATTTGCATTCCAACAAATTGCGATCTGCCATTGGCCATTGCCATTTGGCACAAAGTGCATCGAGAGCATCGACGGGGGCTTCACTTTGGGCCGAGTCCTCGATGAGTCCTGGCTGTGAGCTCAGCCCTTAATCAGCGCACATTTCGACGGCAATTAACCTCTTGGCCTCTGAGTTATGGCACAGCCCCTCAAAATGTATTCCCACAACTAATCAGCGGGACCCAAAACTGAATCCCAGATCCGAGATAGTTTTCATGGCATGGCAGTGTGCCATGCCCAAAAGTAATCATTAATCAAATGGGCCTTTCCGGCTCTTTCCACTCGCTAAGCGCCAAGGATCATCCACAGAATCTGCCCTGCCCTGCCCTGGTCCATCCCTGTCATCCCTGTCTGGGCCTGTCTTTGGCTCGTTATGGCCATGGGCCAGCCGACAACGGAAGCCAAAGCCAAAGCAACTTTTTGTTTAGCAATTTATGTTTTCGGTTATGCTTTTTTTGTGTCATGCAAATACCCCACACACACACAAGGGCTCCTGGGCTGATGTGTGTTCTCGCCTTTAGTTTGGGTTTCTCTGCCGTGGCTCGATGAGGTGCAAAAGAGAGGAAGGAGGCCCTGCCGGGTTTTAATGGCATGATAAGGGTGCAGCCACGGATGAGGCGTGCAGGCTGACAGCCGCCTGAGGCTCGCACTGTCCACTTCCGATCACATTTCAAATGGGGAAGAGCCCTAACGCAGGGGCATGCCCCCGGCAGCTGCTGGCTGATCACAAGCGAATCTGAGCGCAGGTTTCGCTTTTCTTTGGCAGCTCTTACTCTTGCTTCGTGTTAATTAAGAGGCAACTTTAATGCTTCGCTGCCCGCTGCCTGCTGCATGCAACGCGGCATGGACTGAGGCTTTCGACTTTCGATTTTCGATTCCAAAGTCTTCCATGTACATAATGTGTACATAATGTGTACATAATATGTACTCCCTGCATGTGGCATTTTGTGGCTTGCAAACTGCACCTCCTTTGACTTTTGTCCTTACCTGCTGTGGCTTTCTGTGGCCGCGAAGATTACATTAAAATTACAATTAAAAATGCCATCAAAATGTAAATAAAAGCGGCAGACAGCAAGAAGTGAGAAGCAATGACTGGCGGGGGGGGGGGGGGGCAGCTGAACAAAAGGAATTGGGCAACTAAATGAATATCAAGCCATCAGCAAGCGGGCAAAAAAGTGTGCGGGAGAGAGAGGGAGAGAGTGGTGGAGAGAGCGCGTAGCAGCAGAGCGCGTAGCAGCAGAGCGCGTAGCAGCAGAGCGCGTAGCAGCAGAGCGCGTAGCAGCAGAGCGCGTAGCAGCAGAGCGCGTAGCAGCAGAGCGCGTAGCAGCAGAGCGCGTAGCAGCAGAGCGCGTAGCAGCGCAGCTCGTAGTAGCGGCGCTAAAGCGACGTCGGGGCCGAGGGGCAACGGTGGAAAAATGCCGCCAAACGCAAATACTGCGGCACAATTTCAGTTTTTTGCTGTTTTTTATCTCAGAATCACTTTTTTCATTTTATTTTTTTATTAATTTTTTTGCTTGTTGTTGTCTGCTTTTGAGGCGCACAGACACCGAAGCGCAGTGGAGCCTGCGGGCCAGAAATGTTGTTTATATTTTCACATCCCCCCCCCCCCCCCGCGCACTGCTGTTGACAAAACGAAAAGAAAAGCCGAAGAAAAACTAAAGCAGAAGCGGCAGCGGCAGCGGCAGCCTGAGCAGCATTTTCGGCATCTTTTAATCAAATGAAATGACAACGAAAAAATGTACTTGCCGTTGCCAAATTAAATGAAACGCAAAAAAAGCGAGCAGGAGGCAGCGGCAGCGGCAGCGGCAGCGGCAGTGGGGGGAACGAATTTCAATTAGATAAACAAAAAATAAATAAAAATTGTGAATGCAAAAATAACAAAATCAAACATTAAATGAAAAACAAATAAGACAAGCAAGAAATGTATGTAAATGAGGGTTTATGTATTCGTGTACATATTTACATACATTTTATGTAAGCAAAAGAGTTGAAGGAAATCGAAGCCAACAAATGTTTCATTGTGTTTATTTTGAAGGAATAATTCAAGAATAATGAGGCTTAAGAATAGCTAATAAATAATTGCTCAAAAAGAAAGAGCGAAAAGTGCAAAGAAACTTGAAGGAAAACCTAAACTAATTCTGCAGTTGCTCCCAGAAGACTTTGCTTCTCTTCGGGTTGGCAATTGACTCTTGGGGCAGCAATAAATCTCCGCCAGTGCTGATCCTGGCACCCATCGATTGGCACCAGCGGCACCATTTGTGGCACAAAATTTCACTGGCAATTAGCACTGGCAGGCAAAATATTGAATCTGCCTTTTACCGGTTTAATTAGGGGCGCCACAATAGGGGGCCACTGGCAGGCATCAATGCTGAAAATTGTCTTCGCTTTTCCCCCCAGCCAAGACAAACTTTCGCTCGAAATCAAACGGAAAATTGTACAAAAAATCACGAACCAGTCAGAGCAGGTCCAAGCGGCGGAGACGACGCCAAATGTTGCACGTTGCAGCACTCTTCACTCCACAACATAAAAAAACAACAAACAAAGAGCACGTGACACGTACGGGGGGGGGGATTAAAATTCAAATCCAAATCCGAATCCAAAAACAAATGCGCGACGCGGTGCAGCGCGACGCAACTGGAAGCGGTTCGAAAAAAACCCGCTCGAAAATATTGAACAAAGTCAAAGTCAGAGCCCAAAGCCGTAGTGGCAAGTGGCACGTAGCAAGTGGCAAGTGGCACGTAGCAAGTGGCAAGCAGACACACGCGACGCAGACGCACCCGCCTACTGGTTTTCCACACAGATTCAATGATTGACTGATTGAGTCGAGAGTGTTCGATGCAACTGGATGATGCTACGGTGCTACGATGCTGCGATGTGGATGTGAATGCTTCGTTGTTGCTGCCACAGTTTGCGAGACACACGAGGCACACACGCTGAGCTTTCGCTTGCAACTGAAGTTGCCGTCTGATAATGCCGCGTCTGCCACTGCCACAGCCACAGCCACTGCCACCAGCAGCGAGGCAAACGAAGCCAAGACGAGCACGAAACAGAAACCGAAACAGAAACCGAAACCGATACCGATACCGAACCTGCCCACACGAAGGCGTCAGACGCGCGACGCACGAACCGAGTCCGAGCTAAAGTGAATGCTAAAAATTGCACACCTTGTTTTTCCACTTTTCCTGAGGCACAACAGCCCCACAGTGGCAGTGGCAGTGGCAGTGGCAAGTGCAGCGTCTGCATATTCCGTCCACATTGGGGCGGCAATGGTGAAAACTTGCGCCGAAATATGGCCATGCCACCCAGCCACCCACCCGCTGGCCGGCCTCCTGCTGGCTGGCTGAAATGATTACTGCAATCGCCTGTTCCGGTCGGATGTGGTCGGATGTGGCAGTTGGTTGGAGAGTTGGAGAGTTGGAGAGTTGGAGAGATGGCTGCATAGATCCGCGTATGAGCTGATTGATACGTCTACGACGAGTTCGAGTTGGAGTTGGAGTTGCAGAAATGCATGGGAAGATGTAGAGAATAGATGGATAGAAATTAAGGAATGGTAATATTATGTAAATATTTACATAGACCAACAGTACTCTAAGTGAATCAAATATCTCCGGTTTATACTCTAAATTCCAACTAAATCCGAATATTTTTGCGCACATGTTGCATGGATCTCGCTCGCTTCCAACCATCGAACTAGCAGCCAACCATTACATGTCGATCATACCGCCAGGGGGCGCCTGCTGCATGAGACCGAACGTGGATGTTTGCTGCTGCACTTTTTATTCTTTTCTATTTGCAGTAGTAAAATGATTCTTAAATGCGGGGGGGGGGCCTCAGCAGTCTTAATATTAAATACGTAAAATGGCCCCAAAAATGGTTATCCGCATCACGTTTCCATTCACGATCAGCTTAGGGCTGATGGGGGGGTTTTGCAGGGGCAAACTAAGACGATTTCAATGCAAATCCCGACACACAGGTCCCCAGCGCCCTAAAACCAAATCAGGGACAGCTTGGACACATTCAGTGGGGAGCCCAAGCCAAAACAAACTAGAAAAAGAACACACACACACACACATACACACGGCACCCATAGACAAACACACACAGACGGGGCACACACCGACAGATGGTGACAGAGATGAGGGGAGAAAAAGAAAAGAGAAACAAATCCAAAGTCAGATAAGAGGCGCTGGCGGAGGTGGGATTTGGTTTGAAGATATTGTGGGTCACTTGTGGGGGTTGCCCACGTTTAGGTGCACTTTTATCTAGACACCCTCCCACCTTTTGCTCTCAGCTTTTGCTGCTGTCTTATCGGTCGCAATTTCTGTTCACTCGCTTCATTTTCTACCGCCTTGTCGTCGCCCCTGCTCTCCTCCACCCATCCATTTCCCACTAAATCTATGACAAATGTAAACAGTCGTCCCTTGGCCATGCGGGCATTACCCCCTTGCGGTCCCCCATCCTCCAGCAATGCTGCTGATTGTGTTCGCTTTTGGTTTGGCGTTTTATTTCCCCCTGGTTGCAACTTTAGATTAGAGTTAATCAGCTTAGCGTGTCACTTTGACTATTAGAGGGAGGTTGGAGTTGGATTGGAGTTCGAGCTGGGGTAGGAGTTGGGTCGCAGCTCGAGCTGGGCTGGGGTTGCAGCTGGTTAGGGTTCGAGCGGGGCACGAGTTGGGTTGGGGCTTGCGTTCGAGCTCCCGCTTTTAATTATGATTTTCTTTCAGCTCTCTCGGCGCCACAGGCAGCAGGACTTGAGGAAACCCCAGGTGAACACACACAGTCCATTGTTCATGTCCTCATCCATGGAGTTGACACTGCGCCAGCCGCCATCCCGAGGCTGCGGCTGGAACTGTGACTGCGAGTGTTCGCGTAGCTGCGAGCGCGCCAGCGATTGGTTGCTCCTCTCCCGCAGCTCCAGCCCTTCCAGCTGTGCCGGCTGATGACTCACTGCAAGGAAAGGCTTACTGGCTCACAGCCGTAGAGGATTCACAGGGTAACCACTTACATGTGCTGCCCATGCTGTTAATTTTGAAATGAAATTTCGAACTTGCTTGAATTTCTACTCTCTGTGTGTTGGAGTTTGATTTCGTTGTGCTGGCCTGCTTTTGATCCTGCTATAGAAAGTGAGGCATGCCACATGCTACGAGTTGCATGCTCCACTAACCAGCGATGGGCTGGACCATAAATGCAATTCAAACAGGATTTTCGAGTTGTGGCAACTTAGAAAGTAACAGTGACACACAGCTGTTGCAAGTTGCCACATCAGAGCCAGAGCCAGAGCCAGAGCCAGTGCCAGTGCCAGTGCAGCGACATTCATTGATCGCCTTTTCTGGCATTAGTTTCAATTTATTTCACTCTGAGTGTGATGGATGGCAGCAGCGACAGCGGCAGCGACAGCGACGGCGACAGCGACGGCGACAGCGACGGCGACAGCGGCGAACGTGTCACAGACCCAAGCTATCAATTGCAGGACCCACGAGGGCTGGGTGGACCGAAGCGGAGCGCACTTTTAATGCCCAAACAATTGTTGCTCGAAAATAAATCTTTATCATTACAGCACAAGCACAAGCACAAGCAAACGAAAACGAATCGAATTGAATTGGAAAACGGAGACAAGATGCTGCAGAATGGAAAAGGGAGAAAATGCCAAACGATTCCCTGGATGCCCTTTCCGGCTGCAGTGCCAAACACCATACACACAGAAACGAGCAGAGTATGCAACAGAGGGACACCGAAACTCAAGCAACTGGAGAGTGAAATTGCCCAGCAATCAGCTGCTCATTGTACGGCTGGCTGGGTGGAGGGATTCCTAAGGCTACAAGGCGATGTTGGGCTTCGTGCTTCGGGCTGAGTGGTGGAGTAGAATCCACCACTTGACAAATGCTCTGTTCAAATGCTGTGGACAACATTTAATTTCACCATTTAATTGGAGCATCCCAGTCGACTGTGGGAGAGAGAGAGAGAGAGAGTGCAATATGCCGTGGGCGCTCCACTGCTCTTCCCCTCTCCTCCTCACTAATCACTCCTCTCCCTCACAGCACAGTTTGATGCTTTAATAAATTACACTTCAAATTGCTGCTAAATGATTTCCATTTGACTAATTGCCGCTGACTTTGATATTAGGTCTAGCAACCCTTTTGCCTTTTTGTTGTTCCTAAAACACTTTCGTGGAGATCTCTTCTCTTCCTCTTCCTGCAGTTTCTGTTCCTCTTTTTCTCGCTTCCCACAACAACAGCTACGCTCCGCTAGGGGGCGCACGCTGCATTAAGAACCCTCTGCGCCATTTGGCGGCGGATAAAAGCTCGTGTGACAATAAAGTGAGGACTCGATTTCGCGTCATGCATGTTAAATATTTATGTGGCATACAAGAGATTAAAATGTACACCAGCAAAGTACAAATTTAATTCCCGCTCTCAGCCGCTCAACAGCTGGTGCTGTCGTAAGAAGAGAGAGGGAAAGCAAACACACAAATAATGGAAAAATGCAAGCTGCTCATTAGATTGAAAGGGAATAAACAAGAATCAACAACCAGAGAGAGAGAGAGAGAGAGAGAGCGCAATATTAAAGTCGTCGTTCGGCTGTTAAACATATCAACTATTTGTAGTACAATTTATAATCTGTGCGAATTATGCGCAGTCAATATTATCAATAGGCAAACGCACCCCTGCCCCCAATCCACAGGCACTAATTAGATGCAAAAACACACACAGTGGGGGGGAGAGAGAGAGAGAGAGAGATTAAAAGCCATAAAAAATAAGCAAAATGCTCGCATAAATGAGTGCCACACACACACACACACAGACACGGGAGTAGCGAAAAGTAAGTTTATTAAATGTACGCAACATCCGTTGCTATTGTTAACCCAAACACACACATGTGGGCTTAAGGGAATAAGCGAAATATGCAAGCAATAAATTCAGTGCGAAAAATATGCCCCTCCACAAAAGTGTAGGCGTGGTGAAATAAGATCAAACAAAACACATTTCAAACAAAACAAGAACGCCACAAAGCCACCAACCCGACCAAGCGATACCCTGCCAATCGGGAGCAGGCCAGGAGTAACGTAACGGATCTATCTTCACCATGCATATGCTTCTCAGAAAATAAGCGAAAGAGAGAACGCTTGGCGCTCTCTGGTTTTGTGGTCCCGCTTTAACGCAGGTACTCACACGGCTTAGTGCTTTTGTAATGCAAAAACAACAAAGACAGCAGACACGACGTCTAAAACGTTTCTTGCTTCTCTGCTCCGCTGCGACAGCCGATCAATTGTGCCCACGAAGTTGTGGCTCTGCAGCTGCCGATCAATGTGCACACGAAGCTGCAGCAGCGGCGGTTTGCTGTGCATATGCCAAAGCCACACGAAGCTTTTGCGAAGAGCGTGGCGCCGACTGCGCTGCTCAAGATGTTTTTCAATGACGCTCGCTGCAGTTGTGATTGTTTCTGCACGATCCAGAGAGGCTCGTTGCTCATCATCATTCATGGAGAACGCAAAACTTTTCCACGAGCTCGTACAGTATTTATTCTCTTGCAATGTACGACTATTGGGAATAAATACCGTTACGGTGTAAGAGAATACATGTGCAAAGGGAAAGGGAATGGGAAAGGGAAGGAGGCGTGGTTGGTTTGGGTTGGGGGCAGAAGCCCGAAAAAGTGCAAACAACTGCAAAACCATATCAATGGCAATGATGACGATGCTCCTCCTCCCCGTGACCATTCTCCGTGCACATGCAAATTGGAACATGGAATAAAAGCACACACGCAAACACACACACACACACACACAGAAAACTTTACATTTCGCTGTACAGTGCGTTACGAAACTGCAGATCAGTGCAGGTGAAAACTGCCGCTGAAATACAATTGGAATTAATTCGTTAACAAAGATCAGAAGAGGTAGGATCTGCAGGAGCTTTATTCTACTTGAATTGAATTATAGTTG